AGAATCACAAGTCTGAGGCTGAACTGGGTAACTCATCAAGACCCTGTCTCAAAATAAAAATACAAAGGCCTGTGGGGTATGGGCTCAGTGGTAGAGTACCCCAGAGTTCAATCCCCAGTACCAACAACAACATCAAAATATTTACTGTAGTTCTAATTTTAATCATGGATGAGAGAGAAAGAAGAGGAACCAAACCTAAGAAGCTGTCAATACTCTGTAGCACCAGTAGAGTTGCAAGCCAAGGTCATCATGAAAGTGAAAAATTTCTTTCAAAGTAAGAAATATGTGGGGCTGGGGTTGTGGCTCAGCGGTAGGTAGTATGTGTGAGGCACTGGGTTCGATTCTCAGCACCACATATAAGTAAATAAAATAAAGGTCCATTGGCAACTAAAAAATATTTTTTTGAAAAGTAAGAAATTTCCTACTTGCATTTTACAAGTACAAGAGTAAAGCACAAGGGTTATCAATATTTTCTTGGTAGTAATGAGCCTCCAAAAATCTCAACAAGTTTAACCTACACTATCTATATAGAAGAACATAAAATGTGGTCTCTGGTGATAATGATGAAAGAAAAGGAGAATTTGGTAATCAGTCCAAAGCCTCCAAATTACAAACACAATTTTTGAAGATTTAAGTGATTTGCTTCAAAGAGTTACTTCTTTTATGTGAATTATATGAAGATCATTCAAATGTTTTAAAGTCACACTACATGTAAATACCCTCAAACTTTAAAAAACAAAATTTATTAGTTCTAATCAGTTTTACCTGACAGCAGAAAGCTCTTTGATTCATTGTACACAAATGGAGCACAATTTTTCACTTCTCTGGTTGTACATGAAGTAGAGTCACACCATTCGTGCAATCCTACACTGAACCTAGGGTAATGATATCTGTCTCATTCCACCATCTTTCCTATCCCTAGGCCCCCACTCTTTGCCCCATCCAAAGTGTCTCCACTCATCCCATGCCACCCACACCCATTTTGGATTAGCATCCACTTGTCAGAGAAAACATTTGGCCACTGTTTTAAGAATTAACACGTGTGTGTGTGTGTGTGTGTGTGTGTGTGTGTGTGTGTGTATGGTGCTGGGGATTGAATTCATGGCCTGGCGCATGCAAGGGTAGCACTCTACCAACTGAGCTAAATCCCCAGCCCCAATACCCTCAAACCTAGCTAAATCCCCAGCCCGGTGCCCTCAAAGGAAGGTTGTGGAACTTGGTGTGAAAGCCCAGCTGTTTTTTCTTTGCTGCTCCCGGAAAGGATCCAGCAGAATCTCAGAGCAGTGAGGTCCTGGAGGGTGAAGAGCAGCCACACTCTGCCCCTGTATACAGGGCTGCTCAGCTTTGCCACACCTGTCTGGTGCTTGGGCTTCCCATGCAGGCAGGGCTGTTCCTGGAGCTCCTTGTGTGATGTAGGCAGGGGTGTGGGCTCCCCAGGTCATCTCCCAGTTATGCTTGCCTTGTGAGCTGCTCTGTGAGGATGTTCTCAAAGCAATCCAATTTCCAATGTCACAGCATTCCATTTAGCAAAACCCTACAAACGTGTACCAAGCGCCTGTCAGGAACAAGACACGGTGCCATCATCCTGCCTTTTACTCTGCTATCTATCTGTTTTCATTGTTGTCGTTGTCTTAGCTTGGTCTGCTTCTAGTTATCGGACAATCACCTCTTTTCTAGGGAGCAAATGTCCATATAATTTTTCCCATGTAAAGTTTAAAAAGGAGTCTATCTTCCCCAGTTAAACCTTCAAGATGAACTATCTCAACTCATCGTCTTGTTGTTAGCTGGGTCATATGTATGTTTGTTTATACCTGTCTTACAATTAACACACCCGGACAAGGCTCCATGTGTGTCAAGTGATGTGAAGGTTGCTGGGCTCATGACCCTGCTTAGACAATAGTATGGGGTGGGAGGAAGCATCTCAGTGCATGCACTGCATTTGAGAGGAACTCACGGTTACTATTAAAGTCCTAGATCACAATTTACATTTTTCAGCCAGCGTGTTGGTTGCCACTTCTTGAAAACTCATCTTTGTAGAGGGCTTATGTATAGCTGGAACCCTGTTGCTGTCTTCTTAATTGTCTGTGTTTCCCACATTTAGGATTCATGAGGATTATCTAAGGAAAGTCTTTAGACAAGGGTAAAAGAAGGATGATGATCAAGGGGCAATGTGGAAAAGGGATGAGAAAGTAAGTTTGGGAACTATTTACATGTCAATAGTGCTTCTCCTGGGGCTGTTTGACTTCTGGGCCTGTGTGGCTCAGTTTTCTCATCTGTAAAGTTGGGATAATAATAGGTAGCTGGTAGCTGATATCTCTGGCAGCTGAGGGGATGATAGGTTGTTGAGCACTGTGTGGCACATAGTCAGGGCTTTCTAAATGTCTCCCTTCTTATTTATAATCTAGTCTGCTGAACCTTGGGACAGAGAGTAATTCTTCATATTCACAGACATTCTGGAAAAGATTCTGGTGTGAATGGGGCTGACTGACACCTAAACTCCACTGTCTGTTGACATCTCCATCTCCTTTCCCCCAGGCTCATTACCTGTCCTTATCTATCCTAAGTTACAGATAACTTATCATGTCACTGCTCTCAGAGGAGTTTGTGTTTTAACAAGGATCAAAACTGTGAGTGATAAAATGTTCTGAATGGAATTTCAGGAGGTGGGGGTGGAGGAATATTTCCCATACTCCTCAAATTACACCCCAGAAGTGGTTGTTATCAGGGAAACTGACTCTTGCCCTGTTCATGAATTGAGGTCCTGCCCTTCCAGATCTTGCAATCTTAAAGAGAGCCCTTTGGTCTGAACTGATAATACAATAAGCTAAGTACTGAAAACCAGATGTGGTTTGACTCGCCCATCCCAGGTATTAGCACGGAGGTGCTGGGCACACTCAGGTGGAACAAGGTCTGTTCTTGGCTTGAGGAACTTCACAGTTTAACGGAGGAGACCAAAGACATCAGATGGTGATAAGGAAACGTGTGTAAAAGGAAGAGAGAGGCATGTTTACAAAACACAGCCTGAGGGGTTGAAGGAACAGGAACATTTCTCAAGAACTTGAAAGTGTTGGAAGTCTTTGGAATGGGTTAGTTGTGCGTTGTCTTAAAGCAGAGGTTATGGGCCAGAAGTGACTTACCCCAACCTTTTCCAGCTGGATGATTAACTGATAGCTTCAATGTGGGGACCTTCACTGGAGGGAAGAGGGAGCCTGGATCCGTGACTCATTCTCATCCCTTTGACATCGTCTTTAGATTTTCTTTTAACTTCCCTTGCACATCAGACACCTCTGTTCTTGGGTGGTCTGCCACACCACTTCCTGCCAAGTCCCAGCTACTTTACTCAAGGTGGAGGACTGGGGGTACTGGATCTTATTTCAAAAGGAGAGGGGAAATTGAAACCAGAAAGGCTTCCGGATGAACTTTAAGAGAATTTTTTTTCCCTCCAGCAGAGCTTTTCCAAGGCTGCTATCTGTACTTGGAGCTTGGTTGCTTGGTGGTGCTCTCTATGTGTGTGAACATTAACCATTCTGTCAGTGCTAAACATTCAGAATGGAAGTCCTTTCATAATTCGATCTAGTTATGCAAACACAGCCCATCGATGTTAACAAATAGAGACCAGATGCAAATAACCCATGAGGCATAACATGGAATAACTAGCAGGAGTTAAAGTAAACTTACCCGACCCTCACCACCCTATTACCTCACAAGATTTCCTTCCATTTGGAAATAAGCATAAGGAAAAGAAGAAGAAAATGGGACTATTAAGATGTTTCAAACACTTTTTAAATGACACAAAAGAGTGCCTTGGAAACAACTGAAGTAATTTCAGAGTTATGTGGAATTAGATATGCACCCCTTGGAAAGGTTAGGAACCACCATCACAGGAATGTGCATAACAGAAGGAAAATTTAATTACAACAAGAAAACAGACTCCAAATGGCGGCCAATGAGCCAGTGATTCATAGCCAGGTGCTCCCATGAAAACTTGGTTCTCCACAACTCATGGAATAGGGTGTCACTGAAGACAGTAAAATTTTACAACATTCCCTGGGGCACTGGGTGTTTAAACTGTTGTGCATACATAGCCAAGTAGTTGTTGAGTGAGGCCTAATAGAAAATCCTAGAATGGCAGTGTTGGTGCCATTTTCTATAGAAAATAAATTTTTAGTTGAGTAAAAGGAAACAGGTACTATATATAAGCAAGCTCACAGGAAGTCTCCAAACCTCTGAGGTATCTACCATTGCTATCTCATCCTAGAATGTCATGCTGTATGAATGGCCATTTGAGCAAAGGGCCAAAAAAGTCTTGACTTGTGTAGTGAATGACATTTTTTTTACTGTTAAAATAATCTTTTAATTTTTAAAGCTGTTTTTCTTTTCTTTTCTTTCTTTCTTTCTTTTTTTTTTTTTTTTTTTTTTTTGCAGACTCCAGAACCATGGGCCTTGTGGCCCATCATAGATAGCCAAGCACAAGAAAAGACAAGGGGTTGGGCTGTAGCTCAGAGGTGGAGCATTTGCCTAGCATTTGTGAGGCCCTGGGTTATCAGCATCAAGGAAAGAAAAAGAAAGGAAGGAAGGAAAGAAGGGGGAAGGGAGAGAATGAATAAAGGAAGGAAGGAAGAGAGAGAAAGGAAGAGAAAAAGAAAAAGACAAGCTAAGTTTGAATAAAGAGATAGCAACACTTCAAGTTAGGAAACCAGACTCTAGAAAAATATTTGAATGACAACTTCCTAATTAAATTCCCTAAAAGGAAATCCCTAAAAGGTGCTCAGTCAATGCCAGTGCAATGTATGTTGATGGAAACCCGAAAGCCTCTTCGGTGGGGTTCTTCAGCACTTTAATGTTATTACCAGAAAGTTCTCCCTAAAGTCAACCCCAAATCCCTTCTTTAGCAACTTTGGTGCATTCCCTTTCTTCCTGCTCTGGAACAAACAGGAAAGATGGTAATATTGCTGTTCTTATATCTTTATTAAGTGTGTACCTATTAAACTTGCCATCATTCTTCCATTTTGTAGACCTCTATTTTGTAAGTTTTTTCTTCCACAAAAAAAAATAGTAATTTCACTAACATTTCCATGTGCCAATCTTAGGAGTCACAAATGTTTAGAAATAACTTACATATTACTATATAGACAGAGCCACGCTGGGATAAATACTGTGCTTGGTTCATAAAGACGCTGCTTCATATTGAAATTCCTGCATCCTGGGTAGTTGGTGGCAGCGCTGTGGGTGTCTGTCTTCTCTCTGGAGCCTGGAAAGAGGTGATAGCTGATGAGCCAGACTAATAAGATGCACCTTGCACTGATTAAACGTCCATTTTCTTGGGGGAAATGGCTGACAGGAGCAGGATAAAGCTGTGAGGGAGCTTGTAGCAATTTCACAAATCTACCACTACCAGTGAGCTTTATTTGTGTGCTTAGAGCTATTATTAGCAAAACAATGGCTGGAAAATGTGGCAGGGAGAAAATTAAGAAATGACAGTCTTATTTTTTTTTTAAGTAAGAGAACAGCTTCTTTTGTTATGTTTTTTCAAGGCTGTTCTCAAGAAGGGAAGCAGACAGTTTCACAGCAGCAAGATGAGCCATTCACCATAGCACCTGGGTAAGCAGAGCCAGCAGTTAGAGAGGGCTCCAGTTACCTGCTCGCATGCTTTGATCTCAGTTGCCATGGCCAAGGTAGAAGCCAGATCCCATAGTCCTCTGCAAGAGAAACAAAAAGGGAATTAAGCAGCACAATATAGGGACTGCCTTAAATCCTAAAGTCACTTGTGAATCATGGTGTAGTTGCCAATAGGGATGAGAGATGCCCAGGAGTGGGATAGCAAGCAGGAGGAGTTTATGTTCTTGTTTTTAACAAGGAACAGAAAGGACTCCAGCTAGGGCTATGCTGGCCAATTCAGTAGCCAGGAGCCACATGTAGCTATTGAGCACTGGAAATGTAGCTGGCCTGGTTGAGATGTGATTGCTGCAAGTGTATAATAGAATTTAACATCCAAAAACTTAGTGTAAAAAATGTGAAGCATATTATGAGCAACTTTAAAAAAAATTTTTTTTGATTACATGAAATGAAAATGCTTTGGAAAGATAGGGCTTGATAAAGTTATACCATGAATGAGCTTTGAAAATATTGTGCTAAGTGAAAGAAGCCGGATATAAAAGGCCACATATTATATGGTTCCATTTATGTGAAATAGCCAGTAGAAAAATCCATAGAGACAGAAGGTAGAGTGGGTGGTTACAAAGCACTGGGAGGTTTTGGAGGGAAATGGAAAGTGTTAATGGTATGGAGTTTTTGAATGGTGTGATAAGAATGTTCTACATTGCTTGTTGTGCTGGTTGTGAATATTTTAAATTATATACTTTTATGGGTGCATTATATGATATGTGAATTCTATGTCAATAAAGTTGTGTAAGACAAATAAACATAAATTTTAAGGTAAATTTTACCTGTTTTAAAAATATTTTAAAGAATATGACCATTAGAGCTGGGCATAGTGGTACGCATCTGTAATCCCAGCCACTTGGGAGACTGAGACAGAAGGATCATAAGTTCGAGGCCAGAATAAGCAACTGTCTCTAAAAAAAAAAAAAAAAAAAATTAAAAAGGGCTGGGGATATAGCTCAGTAGTAAAGTACCCCTGGGTTAGATCCCCAGTACCAAAAGGAAAAAAAAAAAAAGACAAGGTAGGACAGAGTTGCATTCCTTTCATAGGTGGCTGTCCCACTTACCTCTGGCTCTGACAGTAGCCTCTGGAGATGAGAGGATCCATATCTTGACCCTGTAGTATTTACAAACCTGTAAACCAGTCTTGGTGAACTGCAACAGGCAAACAGGGACAATCTGGCTTTGTCCTGGGGGATGGAAACTTCTTCAAGAAGCATTGGCTAAGGCAGCTCGCCTGGCCTATTTATGAAATGCCATAAACAAACCCTAGTGTTAGTCAGAGCCTTGGCTAGAGGCAGCCTAAAGGGAAGCCTTGGGTGCCTTTCTGGCATCTTCTTCTCACTCAGGTTTCTTTCCAGTTCAGTTCTCCCCTCCAATCTTCTCCCAAATAAAGCAATCTTTCAAAGGACATAGCTTAGTGGATGCTGGATAAAGAAGCCATGCTTAGGCCCCTCCCTCCGCCCCCAAGCACACAAAGGAACGATCCCCTTGCTTGTCTCTAGAGATCAGAAAGATGGTTGGATTGGGTGAATTTGCCAGATGAACTTTCACCCCAAAGGCCTATTTGCAGAGGAGGGGTCAGTAGAGGAAAGGAGGAAAGAAAATCAAATACACTGAACTTGGCAGTAGCTGTTTAAATTTCAGAAATACAAAGTGAGCATTTGACATTATTTTATGTTTTATTCATGCCATGCCCTCAAAATTTTTCCTTCTGCAGTGAACATTTAGTTTTTCTCTTCAGTGACCATATATGAGGTTCCAGTGGGGAGGGTGGGTGGCAAACAAAGGAAAGGGGTGGGCAAGGTCATGAACCTAGAGAAGTTGTCAGAGTGAAGTTATGCCCCTGTTTCGTTGCCATTGTATAATGACAGCAGCAAGTTAACTTTACTCTGTGTAGCCTATGGGACATAGATAAGAGCATCCTCAGTGTGACATGAGCTTCTGAAAGGCAAAGCTCACAGATTTTCATCTCTGCATCTCTACCATGGGGCTGGCACATTCTAAGTGCCCAAGTGATATTTGTAGTAAGGACGGGTAGATGGATGGATGTGATACACGTAGATATTTGATTAAGGTTTATGTTAGAGAATGATTGAATGTTTTGAGTGGTGGATGATGAAGAGGAAAGACTTGAAAGATTTCAATTTTTGTGATGGGGAAATAAATTCTGGAAGGGTGAAACTAAAACTAAAATGATAGCACATCACATATTTGGTTTTGCCATCATTAATTTTTTTTCCAAACAGTGCTTAGATCTGTTGAATAAGAGGGAGGGTGGAAAAGGGAAGAAAATTCTAGTACAGCTCATGGAGCCTCTCTCATTGGATCTTGTAAAATGCAAACCTCTCAGGAGTAGACGCATGACTTAAGGATGGTGTTGTCAGGGTCCTCAGAATAAATATTGCCTTTTCCTTCCCAACTGTTGGTACCACACAGGGAAGCTGGCATGTGGCCAAGAGGTTGAGATCTCTTCACTCGGATCTTCTGAGCCAGGCAGCACACGATAGTGAAAAACTTGCTCAGAAAGCACTTGAATATTGCATTCCTCCTCTCTGTATTTATACTGTCCTCTGGCAGCTAAAAGCCTGAGAGCTATTAAGAGGGGAAGGAGAGCACTGAACTGTCAGAAAGCCGGTCTTTCCCTCTGCTGTGGTTTGGATCTGGGAGGACCCCCTGCAGGTCATATGTTGAAGGCTTAGTCCCCAGCTTGGCAGTATTGGGAGGTGGTGGAGACTTTAAGATGTGGGGTCTAATGGGAGATCTGCTGATCATGTAGGGGGCATCCCCTAGAAGGAGATAGTGGGACCCGAGCCCCTTCCTCTTCCTCTTCCTCTCTTGACTACCTTTGCTTTGCCACCAGCTCCCACCATGCTATGCTGTCACGGCACAGGTCCAAAAGCCATGGGGCCACAAAACCATGTTCTGGAACCTCCAAAACCGTGAGCCAGAACAAAACTTTTCACTTTATAAGTTGATGATTTGTCAATAGTGATAGAAAGCTGACTAACTAGAAAGAGGCTCCTAGAGAGATTTGCCCACCATAATGTAATCACCATTAGCTGAATTTCACCTCTCTTCCTTTCCCATCCAATATTGATGGGACTTCTCACATCTCAGGAGCAAGGAACGTCAGTATTATGTTCAGCTCTACAACGTCTGCTTCATTGGCCACCCCAACTGTCTATATTATGGAAGAACTTCTCAGTTTAGCAGAAACTTTAAAACTGAATTGAAATCATTGTTTTTAGGCAGCAGTGGGAATAGGGGTATGCTATAGAACCAAGGGTGAGACAATTTTTTTCCCCTCTTTTAGTCAAGGAATCTGTTCTCAAAGTGAATTGGCTTTTGTGTTTGGCAGTTAGCAATCCATATTTTAGTTAAGGCATTTAAATTCAGGCTACAGAGAGCACATCTATCTCCAGATAGTTCTAAAATAGAGTTGACAAGGCTCATCTGGAATATTAGAGGGCAGGGAACTTCAAAGAAAGCAAGAACATGTGCTATTTTCAGATTTAACTAAGATCTGCCTAACTCTTTTATGTGGGTCTGTGGCACAGCAGCAAATGAGGTAGACGTGACCCTAGCAGGGTGAGCTAAGAAAGCTGGATTCTTTGAAGGAAATAACTTTCCGTGATATCATGATTGGTGGGGGACATGCAGGTGCAGCTGTATGGGAACCGTTGGCACCACGGCTCTCTGTACTGGGTCCAGATCCCCTGGTGCCCATACTCCTTGGCCCAAGTCACTCTTGCTCATGCTATCAGGATTCTGACTCATAAGTAGCCAGAAGCAGTGGAAAGGAAATAATGTGGCAAAACTGTGTCTGAAGACTGGTTAAATGCTGGAAACAGAAAATCCATTTTAAAATATGCCTTCATATTTTACAAAGGCTGTGCAAGATTTGAAAAGTATGTTTAGCATTCCAAGTATTTTCCCTTCTGTGTCTTTGGAGACTGGTTCTGAAAGTGGTGTTTTGTTTATTTAACATTTAATCAAAAGAGATTTGGACCCCACCAGCTCTTGAGCAACAGATTCAGTAGCACTGTCTCTTTGCATTTAGTCTGAAGAGAGAAACTTCAACCATACGGAGGAGAATTTGATGTCTATAATATGTTCTAAAAGATCAGCTGGTCTAACTTTACAGGGCTAATAAAAGGAAAAGATTTTCCTGTGCTCAGGTCTTTTATGAATTATAAATAACCATTCACTTTGGAAGATAGCACATCATAAATTTTTTTTTTCACAAATATGCACAAATCCATTTTAAGATCCAAAGAAAAAGATGTTCAAAAGTCTCAGATGTACTCAGTTTTGATTTCATGGGGAAACATGTTCTTTCACCACATGGATGCTTTTAAGGGGCCTTCAGCTGGGGCTCAGTAATGACACCCCAGTGGCTAAATGAGGGATTTCTTTCCTTCTAACATTATTTCTCTGTTATTAAAGGTGGAAAAACCTTCCACAAATAGCATACTATTAGAGTGCTTTAGGGGGTATCCTGGGACTCAAGGTTATGTGTCTGCTCCAGAAATACTGTCTGTAATTATCATTCCTCAGTGGTTCTGAGGATGCAGCCTTGGTGTTTTCATTAATTTCTTGATTCTACAAAGTCTAGACTGAGCGCCTGCTCTGGATATTCAACATTTTACATTAGGGGTTTTTGTTGTTGTTGTTTTTTAAGGCTACATATCTTCCGAACTCTCTTTCCCTTTCTTTCTCTTACAGTCACTGTTTCCTGGCTTCTTTTGTCCACTCACATACTAAATTTGAAAAGAAAAAGAAATCAGATTGGAGATTCTTCTAATCCCAGCCTTTGTTTTCTCTATAATCTGCTAATATGAATGCTAAGAAAGTGGAGCTTTTGGATCTAACAAATAACTCAAGTGGGCCTCAGGTCTTTATCATGAGTGTTTTCAAACATTCACCAAGTTGAAAGAGTTTTACAGAGTCACCCACATACCCACCACCTAGTTGTAGATTCTACCATTAAAATTTTACAATTCTTACTTTATCATATGTATTATACGTATACATCTATACATGCATATACTTGTACATGCCTTCTCCATTAATCCATCTTACGTTTCATGTATTTAAAAATAAATTGTAGGACTGGGGATGTGCTTTAGTCGGTAGAGCACTTGCTTAGTACATGTAAGGCACTGGGTTGAATCCCCAGCACACATAAAAAACTAATTATAGGCATCAACCAATTTCCACCTAAAAATATCAGTTCAATATTTACTTTTGTCATATAATTTACATATGTTGAAATGTAAAAATTGAGTATACAGTTTCTGAGCTTTGAAAAATCTGTGGGTGTGTACGCAAACCCCTACCAAGATCTAGAACGTTTCCATCACCATAGAAAGTTCCCTCAAGCCCTTTTCCTGTCGATCCTTGTCTCTATCCCCATTCCCAAACTCAGATGTGACCACTGTTTTGATTTTTTTGTCACGTATCAAATTTTGCTGTTCTAGAATTTTATATTAGTGATCAAATGGTATCAACTCCTTGTGTAAGACTTCATTCACTCACAATAATGTTTCTGGAATTTGTTCATGTTATTGTAGCAGTAGTTCATTGCTTTATACTGCTGAGAAGTATTCTCATGTATGTATGATTCTACCACTATTTGTATATCCATTCTCCTCTTGATGGACACTTGGGCTGTATCTAGGTTTTGTCTATTATAAATAAGCGATTATGAACATTCTTATACAAATCTTTTGATTTTTTTCCCTTGGGAAAAAACTTAGTTGTGTAATTGCTGGATTATAGCTGCTCTATGTTTCATTTTTAAAGGAGAGTCTACT